GAACATCCATCACTACTGCTTCCGCTGACGGTGATAGCAAGTCCACGGTCCTCCAAGGATGCACGAGATCACGAAGTAGACTCTGAATCTGAGTGCGTACATCAGTTCCTTCATCATGGAGGTTTATCTGAGTCCAGCTGTACGGGGTGGGAAAGATGTCTCGATACAGCGCTGCAAGACGTTCCAGGGTGGGATCGTCGTCGCCGTCTGCAGCAGTAGAAGAAGATACCACGGGATAGTCGCGATACCGCTCAGAATTGAAGGCGTCTTGCATATTTGCTTCTACTTCTAGGGACTCGGCTGGTGACAGTATCGACTGAGGGACGTAAATGGAAACGACTGGGGTGCTTTCATCCCAAAAAAAGGACGACGGAGATAAAGTCGTCTGTGACAACAAACCACTGCAGCCGACATGATCAGAGTCGACAGGAAGATTGAGAATAAACTGTTTGTCTTCTTGAGGCGAGAGTGCCTGCGATGCCGAACGACTCCCAAAGAGTGAGCTCGAAAACAGCCGTTTTCTCCAACCAGTAGCAGGTCCTCTGCTGAACCATCCGCACTTAGTATCGGATATGGAAGCGGCATCACCTGCAGAGTTTGAAGCGGTAGTAGAAGGACTCGCAACTGAATTGTCACGGCTGTGGCTCTGTGGCGGAGGCAGTGTAGGGATCATGGGAAAGCCGGCATGATGGAATGATTTCTGTTTTTGCGGTGCCTTCTCAATCCCAGGGTCAGTCGTAGCAGTGGGCAGCGCTGGAGACCCGCTGGAGCTGCCCTGAGGCGTGTACAAAGACGAAACCTGACTATTTCCATCTAGAGTCCTTGGAGTCCTATGAATCTCCGGAGTAGCAAACTCAAGTTGAGGCGGCGGTGTGTGAGGTCGAAAGGGATCAGACGGAGAGGTTGTCACGGTTCGCGTAACTTGGATAGAGATGCCGTATCTCTCGGGTGTCATGATGGGCGCAGAACTCGGGGGATGAATGCGCGTGTACTAGCCGGCCCGTTGCTTCGAAGAAACTCGAAGTATGTGGTGTTTGCTATGACGTGGGCCGTGGTGACTGTGGCCGTGGTGCGTGTTTGAAGAGCCTGCCTTTCAGTCAAATCGCGTTTCGTTGGCAGCAAGTATAAACACCCACAACAGCAATGGAAGAGAGGACGCCAAAGAGGAGCACAGGCCGGCCTAACTGGCAATAGGAAACCTAATAGGCACCCAGTATCACTACGTTTCTTGTAAGTCGGACCAATAATTTCGCCCCTAGATCCAAGGTATCGTCTGCACAGTAGGAGGGATAAGGTACAAGCCGGTTGCAGAGGAGACAGAAATCGCAAAGACGCTGGATCAAAGAATCACTGTATGTACTTAAGCTTGAGTGTGCAGCTGTGCAGTATCGGATCACAACTCATTTTACTCGGCCAAAATGCTGTAAAGAGCGCCAAAATGTCTGCTGTCAAGAGCAAAACGGAAGATAGATAGATAGATAGATAACCAGACGAGGTCCCAAAAAGGAACGCCAGGATTCTGCAACACCAACCAGAAGAGTTTAGAGTTTAGAGTTTAGATAACCGGACAAGGTCCCAAAAAGGAACGCCGGGGTTCTGTGCCGCCACAAAAGTGTCACAGACTACAACCCTCCATGCCGCTGTGATACTCTCAGTTGCCAGCCGAGAACGTCTCACGGATTTAGAGCATTGTAGGGACAAGTACCAATTGGACATAGCAAAAGATAATCCACAGTGCATTATGTAGTACGCAATAGAGGCTCGGCAGCAGGCAACTGCAGCAGACAAGCCAAGCGATCTTCAATACCATGCCAAATGCAATTACGAATTTCCGTCGTAGGCAGGAGTGGTGGAGCAATACATGTGGCTAAAACCGGTGCGCAGTCACATCAGGTGGCTTATGTCATAGTATGTGTGATCACAGCCGCATCTCCACCCGTCAATGAATATAACGATCAGAACAGTCAGCCAGAAGATAGACACGACAGTAAGTTAGGGGGAGGACCTCATAGGGTTCAGTAGGAAGGGGAGTCAGAAATGATTGCAGTGAATGGAAAAGAACAACTGTAGGACACTGCAGACTGTCGACCGTAAGCACCACGGCAGGGTCATTATACGAACCATCATCGAATGGTCTCGGGACATGACAAGGAAAACAAGAGGTTGAAGAATCGAATCGAAAGTATCCTGAAAGGAATAGAAAGTACCATGAAAGGAATAGAAAGTATCCTGAAAGAAATAGAAAGTATCCTGAAAGAAAAGACAATACCCTGAAGCCCGAGGAAGAGAAGAAAAGCGCATATACGCACGAAATCGCAATTCCTTGAACCCCTAGCTGGTACCGGTCGGACGCCTACTACCATGAGCTTCGTATACTGGCCTCCAGAGGCTGAAGAATTGAATTGAATCAAAAGGAATAGAAAGTATCCAAAGGAATAGAAAGTATCATGAAAGGAATAGAAAGTATCCTGAAAGAAAAGACAATACCCAGAAGCCCGAGCCAACATACGCCAGTGCACGTCTCGACGACTCAGTACTGAATCGCTAGGATGGACAGTCAGCCAGGTCAAGATAAATCGCCCACCAGCATTAGGGAACGGAACGTCGAAGTCGTGACTTTTGTCTGTTGCTGTGATGAGCTAGGCAAACATAATATATCGCAACCCCGAACATTGAGCGCAACGTTGAGGACGTTCATGGAATCCATGGTGGCGGTGAGAGGGAAGGTCGGGGTGAAACCGAGTCATTTTTGGCCATGGCACACGGCACGTGGCCATTCCTGATTGGGATCTTGTGCCGGTACTTACCAACGTCCTCTTCCCCACCTTAGGCTTCGTTGCTCTCCACCTTCGCTGCTCCCAGCTAGTCACTGCTTTGGGAATACTCTCGCTTGATGGATCTGTTCTTGTCGATGACATGCCAGTAGAAGCACAAGACGACCCATCCATTGACTCTGGTGCACACAGTTCATGCTTTTTTGTTTTGGTTCTGGTCCATTCCGCTATGGTTTCGGTCCACTTCCTTCCTCAACGACACTGATGCCTCATGTTGATATGTTCTATCATTCCGTCTTTGTTTGTGTTTCCGCGCTGCTATCAGCACTTGATTTATAGGTGTGGGATTTCGTGGGAGGAATAATTATTTAATTCACAGGGTCGTTTAGTGCTCGTGTGTCGTTTTGGTGGTCCGTGCGCATGCTTCTGGCACGACTGCCATTCTCCGTTGTATGCATTGAACGATGTGCGTATACTATTCCTTCTACCAACATTGCATCATTAATCTTTTGAAAGTGCCCTGCAAAGTGTCTCTACTCCACGGGATGTACGCCACGGCGCATGACTTGCTGTTCCTGATTGGGAGCTAGCGCTCAACGCCAGTAAGGACGATGCCCATGGAACGTGTGCGCAACGTCACCTAGCTCATATAGAGTCTCTGGAATATAAATGTACTAACCCTTTGGTCTCTCTCTTGAATACACGACTTTTTCGTTTTCCTCTAAGGATCGACCACCATGATTGCCTTGGTATTCACGGACGACTGAAAGCCCAACGGCCACCCTCCAAATCGCACCACCACAATGTCAAAGTTCTTCGTCTATCTCAAACTGTGCCCAACTCGGCCACATCACCCTCTCCTTAACATATGGCCCCTACGCCCCACGCACCACCATGAAACTGCACATCCTCTGGTGCCCTCCCATCTACGACGCCCTTCACGAGTTTCTCCGATCCCCCATTGCCTGGCCGTCTCTATCCAGCGACTTTCAGAACACATGGCACTGGACCTACTGAGATATGATGTGGTAAACGCGCTCTGTATGCTCTGGAAATTTGAGCGATATACCACGGGCGCGCGAGGAGTGTCTGAGTTGTCTGAGGTCTCAGGGCGACGTTGATATATGTACTGATCTTCGTGTTGTCTGCCTCCTGATCGACAGGATTCGAACACAAATAGGTAGGTGAAGTTGCAGATCAAACGACCAAGTACTAATGCAGATCTATCCTCAGTCCTATGGAGAACGTGTAGTGTGCAATGGCGATAAGCTATTGAAGCGAGTGAGTGTTAATGCTTTTTCTTCCGTCTAACGGCCTTTGCTCTAGGATCGCGATTTTCGAGTATTATCAGGATGTGGTTCGTTCCATCAGCTGGTAAGCGATACTAGGTATTTTTGTGCTCAGGCTAGTCTAACCGCCATGCAGATCTGAAGGAAGTCTGAGAAATTAACCCGCGGGCGTAACCTACACTGGCGACGGCTCTGAAATAAAATTACGCCTCATGTCGATATGCACTGATCAAATCATTTTGAAAAATGCGTGGGGGGCTGCGGGACGTCAGTGTCCAAACGTTCATTGACGTCGGTGGGCCGGGATATTATATCACGACTTGTACATTTTTCCCCCACCCCGCGTGCCCTACTTGCTCTAATGGGTTCATTGCCAGCAAGGCCATTTGGAAGGCTTCTCCCGGCTCTAGCAATCCCTCCCTCATTGGTCGGTACAATGATTCCCTGAACTTTCATGCACGACACTGTCGATAATCGTAACACACTTCAATGAACCCGTGTCCTGGGATACTCTACTGTCCAGTGTGTTGGGACACGGTACTCAGCTCTAAGTCTTCGGAGTTCCGCTGTCTAATTGCTCTGTGAAAAAATCGATTTTGAAAGGTGCACCAAAATTTCTTGTCACGCGTGAATGAGATTGAACGACTGCGGCATGAAAGTTGGCATCAAAACATTCATCGAGTTCAAATAACATACCATGACTTGTACATTTGCTTCAATCTTTCACTGCTCCACGTGTCCTACTTGCTCTAGATTTTTTGTTGCCGCTAAGCTACTGCAGGCCATTTGAAGAGCTTCTCCAAGGCCTGATGCAGCAAACCTGCTGCTCATTGGTTCAATGTCTGCTGAGGGTTTCATGTATAGCACCGTCGACAAGTGGAATGAATTGGTGCGGCCAAAAAAAACTGTTTCAAAAGTCAAACAGTGACATTTCAAATGGGGGCACCCGGGATTGAACCGGGGACCTCCAGAAGACCATTGTTCAGAGTTCGAAACTTCAGTCTGTTGCTCTCCCAGCTGAGCTATGCCCCCATTTTTACTTATGCTTAATGCTGTCGTCCCATTCAGGTTCTGCGCTCAACAATGGATACCGATCCAACGCGCAGCTCGGTCGAGAGAGCAGCACGAATGGCTAGTTCAATGTTGGGTACCCATTATATACGTTGGAGAGTTTTTAGTACTTGGGTTGGACATCGCCTAAAATTCATACTGGGAGTCAACAACGCGTCAAATTGTATTCCTGTACAATTGTCTAAAGTAGAACACCGAAAACCAAAGTCACTAGCGTGAATACGATGCGATGTATGCGCAAACTGGGTGGTGTGCCGTTGCTGGCGGTATTTGCATTGGCGGTACTAGAGGCGGCGCTAGTACTGGCAGCGCTACTAGAAGCAGAAGCAGCAGCCGAGGCACCCGCGCTAGCGCTTGATACTCTCCCGGACGCGGTCACAGTGGAGGAAACACCTGTGCTCGAACCCGCTGTCCCATTCCCCTGTGCATTGGCCAAAAACGACTGAAAACTCTTCTCCTGGGTGGGATTAACCGCAAAGACCATGCCCGCCTCGCAATGGCCCGTCTGTGCGCAGAAGAACCAGAGCGGCGCAGAGGCGTTGTCGACGGTGAAGGTCCATTGGCCGAAGAGGGTGCTGTTGGCGGGGATGGGGACAAAACCAGAGTCAATGCCGGATTTGTTGCAGGGGGCGGCGAACGTGGATTGGGTCGCGGACTGGGTGGAGGGTTAGATGGGAGGTGGAGAGGTGGTGCGGAGACATACGTGGTTCTTGGCGCGACTGGGGAGGGGCGTGAGAGAGGGCGTTTATGAGAGAGGAGCAAGACGTACAATGAAAAAGTGACAGTGTCCCCTTCGAGGGCGGTCACGCTTTGACGAGCTCAGTCGACAAACCTACATCAACAGAATGACAGGCCTAATCACCTTGTTGGGTTGAACGCCAGCGCCTACCCAGAGCATCGTGAGAACCGAATCAGACTCGCAAAGGTAGAGAAAACTCACTCCTCCGTCACCGACGGTTACAACATGGTCCGCTGCAGAAACAAAGACGGCTGACACCAGGACAGCAAAGAGAATGAAAAACATAACGAACAAAGGAAGAAGGACGAAGAACGGGGATCTTTTTTCGCATTTATACGAACGTTCCCTGGGTGATGGTGATGGGTATCGGCTAACCCGGCTAGGGTGATGACATCACTTCTCTATTTTTCACCGCCATGGCTTCGCTCACCCTCAGGTCCCTCGCGTCCCGTCTCTCACGCCGCCACTTTTCATCGACGCCACACCGCTTCGACCACTATCTCGATGCCGACTTTCACGTCCGTACCTTCCCTTTACTGTTTGTACCCATCTAACCTAATTATCCGTAGACCTTTAAAAAAGTGACCACCGCAGAAGGACGCATCGTTCTCGTCGACTTTTACGCAGAGTAAGCAGGGTCGTTTAGCCATGCTCATAAGCTTACGTTTCGCAGCTGGTGTCAGCCTTGCAAGGTCCTCTCTCCCATCCTCGAACAGCTTACCGACGATCCCGCTACCGAGACCGCGTCCCGCCAACCATTGGATCTCGTCACCATCAACAGTGATACGGAGGAGGGAAGAGAGCTCTGTCAGCGGTTCAAGGTGCGTTTACTTCTTGTCATGGCATAATATTCCTCGTGTTGACCACGGAGTCCAGGTGCGCGCGCTTCCGACAGTCGTCGCTTTCCAGGGAGGCAAGGCCATCAAGACCTTTACCGGCGCATTGAGGGAACACCAGGTCCGCCAGTTTTTGAGGGAGATATGATTACTATTCCGCACACTCGAATACGATATAAAATGAAACATCCTGTTGCTCTCAATTTCGGCGTTCTACCGGGATACTCGACGCGTCTTCTGCTGGGCTAAAAATTTGATACATGCTCAGATATTGCGGGCACCTAGGATTGAACTAGGCGTCAGCCGGTTGCTCACCCACCACCCCCTGCATTCACCAGGCTTTTCCCCTAAACCTTAACCGGTAACCCCGAGGCTTATTCAAGAAACGATTCGATATTGCGCGAACCCTGGATGCTAGTTAGTCGCTCCCACCCCTTAGGCATATAAGAAAACGACTCTCCCGACGATATTCCTATTCGTCAGAACCAAAACGTTCCGCACCGTTATTAATTTATCGCACCCACCCCTCGTCTCCTCCGTTACCTTAAACATTACTCACATACCGGTTTGTGAACGAATGGGGAGGACGCACATTGTTCCTGCACACGACGATTCATTGATAAGCGGAACCCTTCCCGCTGAAGGGCGACTTCTCGTTCCGAACGACTAGGCGTCCTGGTGCTTTGCGAACTATGGGGACATAGCTCAGCTGCGAGAACAAGAGACTGAAGTATCTTGCTAGTGGGAGTTTTCTGGAGTCTCCCTAGTTCGATCCTGGGTGCCCCCAATGTTGCCATTTGTTCGTCTTTTGTTTTACGCGTAGTTCCGAAATCACTGACACTACCTCCAGCTAGGGTCCTGGATAAGTCAGAGTTTTATACCCATCCCTTCCCAGCGTTTCGAGTTCTTTTTGACCCTTTCTTCATGGTGTCGCATTCTTTCACCTCAATTTCCAAACCACAATGGCTAGCAGATCGTAATCTCAAGGAAACTATTAGTTCGAAGCACAAGGGAAGGAGCGCATCAGGTAGGGGAGCATGCCCAATACCGATGTTCCTACCGCCTGTTGATCAGACCATGGACAGAATACCGTGGCCACCTGACGTTTGTGAGAGAAAAAGTCATAGGTTTACTGAAAAAAAACGTTCTGGGGAGCTTCGCAGGTGGAATCACCAACGTGGTGCGTACCTTTGATGGAGATACACCCTGGTCAAGCTGAGCTAGTAACGTTTGCTCGCCGCATTGGTGTCTTAAGCCTGAGAGTCGTCTGAATTGTAGGCCCTCAAAAAATGCCCTCCCATTACCGGTGGCATATATCCTGTAAAACTGCAGCACGTACGTGGCCATGCAGCCTATTGATGATCTCACGGAAAGAATACCGACTTCCTCTTGCTTGACATAGTATCATTGCGCGAGGAAGACAGAAGCCGTCTGACGTTTGTGGATTCCATTGCGAGAAGAAGCGATACGTTCACGGTTAGGCTGTGCAACGTGTTGAATTTCCGGCGCAACTTTGAACTATGCATCCCTCCGGTGTGAAAGATACATCGTCTCTTCTCTTGGTCGAGAGCTGGTGAAGTCTGGCTTTGAACAACTTCTTCCCGCCGCGTTGGCAACGTCCACGCTCTTTGCCAGCTTAGGAAGAAAACCACAGACACCACGCGAACCGAGCCTTGATAAGATTCCTGGTGCCGCCGTAAATTACCTGTAAGTCTGCACCAAGCCTTGGTAGACGCGACTCTCTTCAAAAAAAGGTCTATTGCGCAGTATGTTGTTCCTCAAGCGTCCGTTCTACTTTGGCGCCGTCCCATTACTAGTATGAGTCTTGACTGTATTATCCCCAGAGAACCGTTTTCGAATAGCCTCAATCATCTTCCCGAACCTATCCCAGCATCAGTACAACAGCTAGAAAAACGAATCTCCACGCACCATAACCAGTTCAGACCCTGCAACACGACGTTCCCTCCTCCATAAATAAAGATATACGCGAGCGGCACTTGATGCCGGACTTGGTATAGCGTATGCGCAAATTGATATGACTAGTGCCGATCGAGAGTAAGGACCGAGCGCTAAGAAAAACACGCGTAAAACACGTACGACATACATCCCCCCATAGACGAGCCTCACTACGAAGAATGTGACGAGGAGGAACAAGCCGTTGATGAGCTGGAAGTTGCTCCCGGTACGGTTGGTCTTGTCGAGGAACCAATGAATGTTGAGGAAGAACGTGCTCCTGCGGAGGGAAGGGCGTCAATGAAAAAGGCGAGAGATTGACAGAACGACATACGCTTCCCAGAGAAGACACCGCGCCGCGTAGTACGCCAAGAACGGTTTCTACACACGAAACGAGGTTCAGCAAAGGCGAGACGACAAACAGGAACAGAGAGACAGACGTACAAACGATCCGAGATAGATGGCCAAACAAGCTAGGCCGTGCACGACAAATCCGATATCCACAAAGTTGATGATCGCATCGACGGTGTCCCAGATGAAATACCTGCCCGCCCAACTCAAATTCTTCCGTTCCTTGATTCACAAACGGCGAGACTCACCCACTAGAAACAGCAATCAACCGCCCTACCCTGTCCTCTTCCCACCCAAATGCGCGATCCCGGTCCAGTGCTTCGAGGTTCAAACACCCCAGCGCGAGCGGGATGACCAGCGAGACGTGTGCTTGGGACACGACGTGTATGCACCTGTACACCCACGCATCAGAAAACACATTCCTACCAACGGCGAATTCGAACAAACCAGTTATTCCTCGCCCTCCGTCCCATCTTGCCGTACGTGTCAGGGAAGAATGCATGGCTCGCGAGAGGCGCGACGAGGAGGTGGACGAACGTGAAAAAGGCGAGGGAGGCGAGGAGCGTGGGGAGGTGGGGCGGGAGGGCAGTGAGCCCTGCGTCGAGGGCGTAGGTGGTGAGCGTGTCCATGGGGTTGTAAGACACGGGCTTTGGGGAAGGTCATGGTTATTACATACGAGGCCCGGGTCACTGGGTGCCGATCGGCTTCTTTAATGTACGAATCATGCCGGGTTTCAGTAAGCCTGGATTTGAAGGATCCTTTTCCGTGTTTTCTCTTCCCGGCGTCGCGACGAGTCGTGGTGGTGGTTGAGAAGAAAATTGGGAATGGTTAGGGGCAGGAACCGATCTAGGGAGGTAAACAAACATATGTCTTCTATTTCCGATGTTCACTACTTACAATAGCCTACTACTTATCCTTCAAGTATTTATGGAATCCTGACTCTTCTACAACTATTTTAGGTGTTTCTTCACTATCCTATCCTAATCCAACATCCCTTGCAATCCATGGCATATTTGCTCAACTAAGGATTGGTCAGCCTGATGACTCACACACTCTCTGTGGCATTGTGGTCACTTGCATCTTCATGGCCATGCCAGGGTAGTAACTGATGCAAGTGACTGTGCCAGGTCCTTTGAGTTTGAGAAATAGGTGGAGCATCAGGGGATACAATCTCTGCAGCCTTGGGATATTCATTGTGAGTGGAACCATCCTCCTAATTCCAGTAAGTATCATTTCAATTACCAGAACAATTAGGCACTCACCAGTTCATCATCCTAGTTTGCCTGCAAAAAACTGCTTCAAGACCTCAATTGCAAAACTAATGTACTGCCTTTGCTTTGCTATCTCTTCCTTTGACAAAGCAATTCGCTCAATTCCATCAACATAAGTCTGCAGATGGAAGAAGTCCATGCCATCCTCTTCAAGTAATTGTTGCAGCCTTCTGCAACATTCATCCCATGCAGGAGCATCCTGCTGAATTTGAACAAGTGACAGAATATTCTTCTTAACTTGCTTTTTGTTGTCACTATCATATAAATCACCAACAGCCAGGATAGAGCAAACATTGAAAAGGATGTCAGATGTGTGAAGATACTCAATATGTTCCTGTATGACTGAAACTTCAAGACAGGATTTTGAGTGATGTCCAAATGAGAAGAGATAGTCTTTGATGATCTCGCTAGCCAGGAGCGATATCCATGATGTCCAAAATACTCCAAGCATTGCAAGGTATGAAAGACACTGTACATAATTGGGCTCCCTTCATGAAGGCACTTGGCTATGATTATCCCTGCACAATGGGAAACAGCATCTTTCACCTTGAAGCTGTAATGGTCAAACATAAGATTGACAATCACCTCCAGAGATCTAGGTGACATGGCATGCCATTGCATTGGGACAAGCTTAGAGTAAACCCATAGGGCATAGAAGTACAGACCAGCATCTGCTTCCCGCTGTACAGATTTCATGGTATCTGTGATGAAGGGATCAAGGATGTTGAAGATGGCAGTGTTTGCCTCAGAAGTAGAAAAATCATGGTTTGAAATGCTTTGAAATACCATGGAAAGAGCTTTCACCTCCACTGTAGCAGACTCTACTTGATCTTTCAAGACAAGCCTTGAGATAAGAAATTCAGCAAATATCAGAAGAATTCCCAGTGATAGAGAGATAGAGGGAATATTTGAAGAGGGGACAAACACAGCAAACACCTGTAGGAGATAGGCTGTCATATCTTTAAATAAATATTTGTGAATAGCATCATGGAGTGTTATGGCTTTATCACTTGATTGAGCAGTGTTCTTTGCAGAGTCAGATTGATACTCTTCAGGAGGATACTTAAATGCAGGCAGAACTGCCATGCATAGATCCATTGCAAAGGGATCTATTTCAATGTCCACAGGAAAGTCTTCTAGCAGTGATACTGCATCACTGATAAGATTGATCCAGACCAGGGGATGGAAACACCATGACTCATTATTAGAGAGTGACATAGCTTCATTATGGACAACCTTTTTGATAAATAGATCTCTATCAAAACTTCCAGAAATGCTTTGATCAATTGAGGCCACAACATATGGTGGAAGCTCAACACTTGGTGTCTCTGGAAGATGAATGTAAACAGATGTCCAGTTACAGAGAACTAGATTGCAGCATAGTAACTGCTCAAGCTTGGTCTCTAGGCCAGCCACTGGTGTTTGAAAAATGCCTGGTGAAACACACTGTTCTAACAATTGCTCCAAGTCAATATCATCAAACAACTCTTTAGCTTTGTTTTGCAATGCTGGATGCAAACCACCAATAGCTTGAATGACAATACTCTGGACAGTGGGGTTTGATGACATGGAAAAGAGCCAATGCAGGGTCTCAACACATAATTCACCTGATACCAACTGTACTGCCTCTGACTCTAATTCTTTCAAGTCCTTCCATTTTGGAGCATTGAAAGTGGACCAGCTGACTGGGAAATGCTGAGCATACTGCATCACATGACTATGCAAGACATGGAGAAGGTCACACAGTGAGGTCTGGTAGGGACATTGGGGGAAAAAGAGGGAGAGGATGTGTGCCATCAAGTAGGCCATATATGCAATAACTGTGATCACACCAACAACCCATGCAATGGCATCTCACAGTGAACCAAGGAAGATCACAAGGCCAACAAAGAAGATAGCAAGGGTGATGTGCATAAGAACAGGGAGTAGGCCAATGATAACAAGAACCCGCCATTTCTGCAGTCCTGCATATCGGAACTGTTGCAGAAGGCTTCGCTCCCGAGGTGTTCCGGAAGGTAGGGCCATATAATGGTGGAGCCATTGCTTGACCAGCACCGACAAAAGTGCTGTTGTAAGGCTCAGTGCAAGACTGGTGAACCAAAGCCCATTTACCCAGACACTGGTGGTTGATGCAATGAAAGTAATATTGGGATTAAGGGGGGAAGGAGCGACAGTATCCAAGGAAGCACTGCTTGCAATAGCGCGCTGGATA